TGTGTGTCAGTGTGTGTGTGTCACTGGTGTATCAGTGTGTGTGTGTGTGTCAGTGGTGTGTCAGTGTGTGTGTGTGTGTGTTGGTGTGTGTGTGTGTGTCACTGTGTGTATCAGTGTGTGTGTGTGTGTGTGTGTGTGTGTGTGTGTGGTGTGTGTGTGTGTGTGTGGAGTAGAGGGAGTTAAAGATGTATGAAGTTATTTCAGTGTGTAGTAAAGAGCCTGTAGTATCATTATAAATCCGGAGGGTGCGGTAATGCAACTCTTTGGATGCCAACCGCCTTTAAAACCTAACGAAGAAGAAGATGCTAACGTTAGCTTAGCATGCAGCAGCTCTGACCTGGTCTTTGGACCTCTCTTCGGTTGAGAGTCCGTCCACCCCCGCGGACTGCTTCCCCTGCGCCGCCTTCTTCTTGTCTTTGGGTTTCTGCGGCGGGAAGAAAACAAACATAAACAAAACACCGTTAGCTAACCTAGCTAGCTAACTGACGACGCTGGTATCTCACTGATGCTAAGCTAACACATGCTAAACGACACGTGTGTGACTCTCTGTGACGTTTCGTTTGAAGGAGGGGCTTTTCTCACCATCCTGCGGCCTCGTGGATCCTTTCTAATCATTCAAACGTGAGCACGAGCTGCAGATTCAGGACTCTACATGTAAACAAAGGGCGCTGCCATGGCAACGGCGTTAGCGGCTGTTTTTTCTTCTTTGAATGAATCTTTATTTAAAAACGCTTCTTTTACATTTTGATGGGGAACAAAATAAAGGAGGGGGGTTCATAAATAATTTATATGAAGGAAACGAACAGAATGATGTAATCTAAAAAACAAATAAATAAAACAACAGTTTAAACAACAACTGATTATTAGAAACATTTTAGCAAGAGTCAGTAGCTTTTTACTAAAATAAAACAACATATAGGCTATCCAAAAAAACATTATTATTAATTTGTTTACATTTTAATACACTCCTGTTTGATCAAAATTAAAGAACAAGCATTAATAGAAAAACATAATGTTTAGTTTAATGTGATTTTACTGGTTCATAATTAAATGTGTGTATTTTGAGGTTCAGTTTGAATCAGATATATTAATACACAGTCAGCCTTACTGTGTTCAACTTTGATCTGTGTGTGTGTGTGTGTGTGTGTGTGTGTGTGTGTGTGAGCAGGAGGACAGGTGAGAGAAGACAGAAACCTCACAGTCTCATGTCGATGCAGAGAAGACCACATTCCCTTTTTATTGTAGTTGAGTGTAATCCTTCGTTACATGATGCACTAAATACAAGCAGGCCTACAGCTCAAACACAGCGTCATACACGACATTACAAACACAAAGACTCTTTGCCAGAGATTACAGATTAAAGTTCTGACAGATCGCTCAGGAAATCATCATCACTGCTCCTTCTGCCTTCTACTTATAAGGTTTAAACACTTGTTCATTTCATCTTTGAGCTAAGTTCTCTTTTTTATATTCTTTGATTAGTATCCATCCATGGTCCATCGAGGCTACCCTGCAGGGCTGAGGCTGCACGTTCCATCAATTTAAACTCTAAAACCAGACTTCTCCTAAAGTGAAGCTAGCTGGTTCCTTCAAAATAAAATACAGTCCACAGGAAGGTGACAAACACCGGCGGTTAACTTGCGCTAGTGTGTGTTAGCTTGCAGTGTAGCTACAAGCAGTAAATGTACACACTACGTCCTGCAGGGGGCGGAGCTTCTAGAGGAGGAGGGGCCACGTTGGAATATTTGAACTTCTCATTTAATAATCAGTGAGTATGTTCTTCTTCTTCTCTCTAGTTCTTGACTAAAACAGCTTTTATACACAAGGGGAGGAGCCGGCCGTCCCGTCCATGTAAACACGGCTCTGACAACAACACAGCCAGCGGGACTCGAGCTTCTCCCTCATTGTAGACAGTCAGGACTCAGAGACACATTTACACAGGACAGACTGGATTTATGAGATATTTCTGGTTCTTCCTTTGAGTCCACTTTCAACAAACGCACACTTCACTTTGGGACAGGGCCTCAGCAACATGGAACAAATGGAATCCAGCCATGCTCTGTCATAGCAACCCAAACGTGCTCCTCACAGCAGCAGGGTCTCTTGGTGTTTTCATCTTGAAGGAGGACCTCTCTGACTTTCAACTTGTACAAGAAACAACCCTTCTTCTGAATATGTGCTTTTACATCAAAACATCAGAGTAATGTGAACGCTGAACTGTTCTTTATGCGTTACATGAACGCCCACATTAAAAATGTAAATTCTTTACATGCTCTCTGTGAGTAGTTACACAAACTAAGATGTTTTCTCATAGTCCACTGCACAGCTCCTACATGTTAGCTTTTGTGTTTTTTATTTTTATATGTAACATTTTTAAATTCTATTTTATATATTGTAATATCTTCATATTCTGTATTATTTAAGTTGTTTCTAGTTCTGATTTATTTCCTTGTTAATTGTTTAGCACCAACACACCAAGTCAGATTCCTTTATGTGTAAATGTACTTGATTCTGATTCTGATCCTGATTATTTGTTTCCAGTTTTTATATTTTGTCATGCTGAACCAAAAACATTCAAACAGCAGTTTGTGAACATTTCTTATGTTCATGAAATCCTTGGCGGACATGGCGTGAAAAGAAGGACGCGGCGGCGGGGGGGGCGGGACACAGCAGCAACAGAGTCCCAACAACATGAACTTCATTTTCAGGAGTTTTAGGCACGTGTGAAACTGAACGCTCACTTCTCACACACACTTCCTGGATTCTGTGCGAGGTTGTACACACACTCGTACCTGCCGTCTCCGTCAGAGCTCAGCTTGTTCACCGAGCTGTACAGATGGTCGTCTGTCCACGTCGTGCTCGTGTTCGGTGTCTCCCTGATGCAGGACGAGTAATAAGGACTCTCCACGTCCGACTCTCTCACCGACTGCTCCCAGACACCTTCGATCTCCTCGTAGATCACCTCCATCGTTTTGTCCACGTTGGAGTGTGTCTCTGTTTTCCGCCTCGAGCAGAATCTCAGCGTGAAGACGGCGAAAAGCACCAACGCAGCGCCGACGAGGACGCCAACGGGTACTTTCCACAAGTCAGAAGATTCATCTCCTGACGCTGCTTCGTCTCCAGCAGGGACCCCCGTCTGTCCTGGTTCATTTCCAGCATCAGGCAGCATGTTTGGATCAGCTGTCTCCTGGAGGTAAACTCGATGTTTGTTACAGAAATACATCCGGTAATCTGACGGGTCGACTTTTTTTATAACCAGTGAGTTATCTGCCAGCGATCCGTATTTGTCTTTGTTGGTTATTTTCTCTTCCCCGTTTCGGATGGTGACGAGAGTCTTTCCCTCCTGACTGCCTGTGAGGTGTTTCCATGTGACATCTCCGCTCTTCACAGGACAGGGCAGAGTGACCGTTTCTCTCTGCGACGCAAACACTGCTGGAACATCTGTGGAGGAAAAAGAAACAAGTGAACATCTGTGAAGGAAAAAGAAACAAGTGAACATCTGTGAAGGAAAAAGAAACAAGTGAACATCTGTGAAGGAAAAAGAAACAAGTGAACATCTGTGAAGGAAAAAGAAACAAGTGAACATCTGCAGCTCAAAACAAAAAGTGTGTTCTCCCCGTCTGTGAACATTTACACCTTCCTTTACACCCAACACACACACACACACACACACACAAACAACACACACACAAACAACACACACACACACACACACTGAGGGATTTGTGCTATCTGGGATGAGGCACAACTCGTCGCTGCCTCACCTTGCATGTCTCCGGAAATCTGCAAATTCAGCGATTTTGATCATGAATCATGATCATGATTGAAATCTTTGGAATCGTACAGAAATAACATTTATAACACAG